CCATCTGTTGTTAGGAAAATTTATCATTGAAGACTAGTTCATGACATTTCCAGATGGGCCTTTCCCAACAATTCTTGTGACTTTTCAAATGAAAATTTTAATTTTTGGTGACAATTATTTGGTCCCTTCAAACCTTACTCCTTGTAGTGTAGATGTTTGTTGAACATAACTTTAAAAATTAACAAGTTTTCTTTTATTACATATTGAATTGATTTCAAATAATTTTTTAACAAGTCAAACTTGAGTTGAGCTAATAGTGTACTATAAATTTGTATATCATTGAGCATAAAGAGGGAATCCAAGTTGTTTCACTTGCTCCTCTTCTCATACAGTAATGAATTGATAGTTGTTTTTAGGTTTCCTTAATCCTCCATGTTGAAAATTGTCAAAATTATTTGTAAAATCACTCTTTTTTTGCCAAAAAAAAAAAAAAAAAAAGATTAAATTATCCTTCTTATTTTGTAACTGTCAAGTCATCTATATATACCATTTATAAAGGGAAATATTTAATTTAGTGTCTTGAAATTGGAAAATTATTGTGTGTGCTTATAGCCGCATGTGTTTATATTCCTTCATAATTTAGCATACATTATATCTTTTCTTATTTTTTAATTACTTAACATGAAATTATGACACTCATAGTTTTTACTAATCATAATACTCTTAAAGTATTACGTGACCGTACTTCAAGCACATCCAATAACTTCCCTTGAAATTCAATGAATAAGAGTGTACAATATCACATAGGGAGCTTTTTTGATAAATCCTTTTTTTTGAGAGTTTTATTCCATCCAATCCATATTTTTTTTTACTATTCCATTAGATCCTATTTGATATAAGAAAACCAAAACACCCTTAATCTTTCTTACCCTCTATTAATGTTGATTGTCATTATGTTTTGATAATTTTCATTCATCAGGATGTTGACTGTCATTATATTCATATTAATTTAAAATGAATTTTTGTCATTGTGTTGTCAATTACATGATGTGAATATTCATACCAAAATATACGAATGTGAACGTTCACATCACTACATGTTGTGAATAAGAATGTGTTGTCAATTAAAAATATAATGAACGCTAATTTTAATGTGTTGTCAATTAAAAATAAGAAGGTTCACATGTTGTGAACGTTCACATCAGATGAGAGAGAATGTTCACATTATTTTAAATGTGTTGTTAATTAAAAATATATTCACATTATATAATAATATAAAATAATAACATCAATATTATTTAATTTGTGTGTGAAATTTCCTTCTCTCTCTTCCCTTCCAACATTAAATATCAATATTAAATATAAGGGCATAAGGGTCTAAGAAAATAGTGTAAATCAAGAAAATGGACTTTATGAAATAAAAATATAAATACATGGGACTAAGTGGGTTAAAAAATTTCTTCATAAACTTCTTGGATTAGAACACTTCTAAATAAGATTTATTAATAAAAATCCCTATCACATAGTACACCCAAAAGAAACTTATTAAATTACTATTTTTTTTTCTAATTTTTATGGGCAGTGATTGAGGGCCCGAAATGGGGGAGCCCGAATGCCCCGAAATTCCATTTCAGGTAAAAAAAAAAAAAAGGAAAAAAGAAAGAAAAAAAGAAAACAGTTTCCAAAATTGGAAATTAGGGATATTAGGGGCAACTTTTTTAGGGCTACAAATCATTTTCCAATTTTTATCAAGTCAAATATTTCACTAGATCATTTATAACTGTTTGCATCTTACTATTACATATTGGCGAAGGCTCACTGCTGTGCTAAAAGCACAGTAGTGATTGTGGTGTCTCCATTTAAAATGTATTATGTTTTTATTTTTATAATTCAAACCGTTCGTTTTTGTAGGGTTTGTTAAGTATTTTATACCTATAAAAAATTATATTAATCCGATATCAACAGCTATATGATCGATAACCAAAAAAATAAATAATAAGTTTTTCTTTTGAGAAATAGCATAAACAAAATGCAATTCGATCATATAGTTATTGATATTCGATTAATATAATTTTTGATAGGCATGAAGTACTTAACAAATCTTACAAAATGACAGTTTGTATTATAAAAATAAGGTCATAATACACATCAAATAGAGGCACTACAGTCATTGTTGTGCTTTTAGCACAACAGTAACTCCTTTTCCTTATGTATTTCACCCACATCTAAGGCCTCGTTTGGAAACATACTAATTTAGTAACTTTTTGGCTATTTGGCTAAAATATGAGCTAAAAAAAACTAGTATGTTTGGGATGACTTTTTGGCTTTTTACGAAAAGATATGCAAAAGGTAAAGAGAAAAGAGAATCTTTGACTTTTTGGTATGAGTTGTTGGTTTTTTGACTTTTTTAATAACTTTTTGACTTTTTGACTAAACGGACTGGTTCCCAAACGAGGCCTAAGTAATGACAAATGCTAATAATTCACTTATGAGCATTGTAGATGATCTAGTGAAACATTTGACTTGACAAAAATTAGAAAAAATAGTAATTTAATGAGTTTCTTTTGGGTGTAGTATGTGATATTGTACACTCTTATATATTCATTGAATTTCAAGGGCAACTTTGATTGAGCCCCTAGTCTCCAACCACCCCCATCACTATCCACACACATGTGGAGGCTGATCATTGGATAAAAAAAAAGAAAGAAAAACAGACCAATCACTGGGGTTGTGAGGGTCACCCCTGTGGGGGTACGAGGCATTTTCCTTTCGAGGGAAGTTATTGGATGTGCTTATTTTTTCTACTTTTTGTCCAATCAAATATTTAACTAAATCATTTATAATTGTTCACATCTTACTATTATATATTTGGTGCACATCTAAGTAATGACAAATGCTAATAATTCACTTCTGAGCATTGTTTAATATTTGAAAGTGAATAATTTTTTTTTTTAAATATAAAAAAAAATTAAAAAGTGTATTAATCTAAGGGTTTTTCTAATAAGTGTTTTTAGGACACAATAAGAAAATAAAAAAACATAATATATTTTTTACTAAATTTAATACATTTTTATTTAAATCAACACGTTCTATATTTTTAAGACACTTTTTATACATTTATTAATATTTAACAATGTTTAAAAAACATTTGTTAATATTTATCTTTAAATAAAATATATTAAATTTAATAAAAAAATATATTATCTTTTATTTATGCCTTAAAAAAACACACTAGCAAGATTCATAAATAATAGTAGAGTAGTTCAATTAAATAATATAATAATACGTAGTAGTGCAGTGCTCATTCAATTTTCAAATTTTACTTGGTTTGGGGGTCAGCGCTCAAAATTTTACTTTATTATTTCTTCTTTTAAATAAAGTTAATGGGGAAATGCTATGGTGTATTACAAAATATGCAAATTTATCGTAAATATTTGTAAGGAAATTCTAACATACACGCTATTTAAAGAGTATATCACATATATTTTTAATTATGTAATTTTTTTTAATTATGATATTATTTTAGTTATAATTCATAATTCATAATTATATTTATGTTGTGTTTAATTATGACTTAAATAATATAAAATTATGTCATTTTTTTTAATTATAAGGTGTATATGGTACACATCTGTTGAAAGGTGTGTACATAATATTTTCAAATTTTGTATTGTCAATTACAAAATGTGTAATTTCGTCACAGATTGGCTTAATAAAAATATCGTAACTAAATTATAAACTTTTGCAATATCAATCACAAAATTTTAGACATTTCATTACACTAATTTGTAGCGATATTAGATATTTTGTGATTAATATTACAAAATTTTATAATAAAATTATACATTTTTATAATAAGATACCTATAATATGCACCCTTGTAAAAGATTTCTCAAGTTAATTACATTCATTTGAGTAAGTCTCTAGGTTCGTGGATCCGAACCCTTTCGAGGCTTAGAGCCATTCAGCCCGTTTGACGGCGATAAATCCAAGCCCACCAATCTTGAACTTGCGATAAATTTGGGCCCACTAATCTTGGGCTATTGGGCCTAAATAATTTAGTGGGCTTAAATTAGCTCATCTTACAGAAACCTATAATATGCACCCTTGTAAAAGATTTCTCAAGTTAATTACATTCATTTTCAATACAAATGACAAAATATTTTTGATCAAACTAGTCAGACATCACAAAACAACAAAATATTCACACGTTGCAAAAGTACTAATCTAACCTCTTTTCTTTTTTTAAAACTTGATTTACTAATCTAACCTTTAAGTCAAGTATATTGACATTGGGTATAGATAAGCATACAATATTTATTTATTTTTTTTGAACAGGATAAGCATACAATTGTGAGGAATAAAGAGGAGCCTTTTGGCTCGTGATTTCATCATGGCACGGTCTCTCTTTGCAGTCCAAATCCAAACCATTTTTTTTTTTCAAACAAAAAACAAAAAACAAAAAACAAAAAATTAAAAATAAAAAACAAAAAACAAAAAAATGACTCACATTCCGAGTTAGATTGGACGAAAACCACAAATTGCACCCTCTCAAAAGGCTACATTTAAGATCATCTTTAAGACATTAGGGTTTTTCATTGGGATGAGGATTCTCATGGATTTCTCTATCTAATGTTTTTATTGTTATAATTCAATAATTTGAGTTTAAAATCAAAACAAAACATTATCATATTATTGTAGGTAGTTTAAAATGTATGTGTGCTATATTTTAAATTTAAATTATTGAATTAAATTGTTGAATTATATATATATATTACTACGTCTCTTATTGTGTATTTTCAAATATTTATTTGGATTACACATTGTAGGAGTAAAGAACATTTTCATTTTAACTTGGTGATTGATTGTAACCAATAAACGCCATAAAATGCAAAATTATTGTTATTACTATTTTTTTTTTTCTCTTTCAGATAACTGTTTGAGGCCTATTGGATCAAAATAAGCAATCATGGGGGATCATAAAATAAAGCATTGCCAATTTCTTTAGTAATCTAATGTGATTAGTAATTAGTGCAAGGTTTCTGTGTTGTAAATTTAGATTGTAGCAAACCATATTTTATAGTCCATTTTGTTTTCCTTCTCATTCTAATACATCTTTTTATGACGAGGGAATGGAACCATATATGTTTCCTAATCCACTTTCAGGGGTGCCACGCCAAACGCCAAGGCTGACAAGTTTGTTTGTTTGGACCCTCATGAAAGTTACAATCAACATGTCAAGTTGCTGTAGATTTGGCTGAGAAGAAAGCTACAGCCCCAACAAATGGTGCGTTGATATACGTAGCTGGCTCAGATTGCTGATAATTATTTCGATCATCTGCAAAATTGTCACTACTATCAGGACCCCCCAAGATGGCTCCAACAAGGACATTTGGATTGGGTGAGCCAGAGTGCAGGTACTGGAAACCGTCATTGCACCCAATATGATCAGGATGTGCATTTACAGATGGTATAGAGGATCCCCTGTGGTGGACATATAGCGGATACCTCTGCCCAAAACCCACCATGTAAGACATCTTTGCCGGGTTATTGCCTAATATGTAGTCAACCTGCTTCTGTGCCTGTGAAATGAGCTTTTGTGCTGTCACGGTTGAACTCCCACATGAGGCAACTCCACCATTTGAGCTTAGATACTTGGCATATGTCAAGAGGAGGAATGCTGAGGAAGTAACATATTGAAGATTGCTCTCACTTCCTTTGTAGAGAAGTCCACCTGTAAACCATTGTTATAAACATGAGCCAACCCTAAGATTGAACTCCTCTATGAACCAAAATGAGGAAGAAATAGTGTAGTAGCTGACCTGGGGTATATTGGGCCTGAAAATTAGGTGATCCGGGAATTAAAGAACATATGTAGTTGTCTGAGTGTGCTTTATATAATTCAAATTCTTGGATATTCTTCTCTAAGAAGCCCTGTAGAAAAGCCCAACAAGAGTTAAAATTTGATCCTACAGATACATAGAGTAGCGGTGGCTGAGTTGTAGAAGAAAACCTTGGAAAGAAGAACCTTTGTTCCGGCACGCTTGTCATCCCAACTGAAAGAGTAGTCATCATCATCGGCACCCAGTGTGTGGCCATTGGACTGGATGTAAGCCAAGTACGAAGCATTCTGTGAAGCTCTGTGAATCCATGATGCGCCCCATAAAAGCTCGTCCTAATTAAAATAATAAGTGTCAAGCACTATGATTGATGCCAATTTGAGAAAGAAGCAAAATGTGTATCTTACATGGTATCCTGAGTAAGAGCAGTAAAATGGGCAGACTACTGAATTGAGAGAGTCACTGTAAGATCCTCTGTACTTGTCAGCAAAATCAAACACCTGCACATAACAAGAACCAACTTTATCAGAAATGTGAGTTGTCAAACCAGAGAAGTGGGAACAAATATGAATTGAGTGTTTTACTTTCATAGCTGTTTGAAGTAACTTGGTGGAATAAGAAGGATCAGAATCATGGAACACAATTGAAGCAGCAGCCAATGCAGCAGCAGTCTCTGCTGCAACATCTGATCCTGGACTTTGAGTGGTTACTTTGTACACATTTCGCGGTGTGTCCATATCTTCAGGCCTTTCCCAACATTGGTGATCTTTGTTTGGATCTCCCAGCTACAACATTGATAGCCCAACCAATATAGCCTTCAGTTCTTTATAGTTAGAGAAAAATGTTACATGTAAGCAGTTTCTTTTTATAATTTTGTTCATTCTTCTTTATTTATTATTATTATTATTATTATTATTATTTTAAATTGCTGTTGAACCACTTATTTGTTTCGCAAGTGTTTCACAATCTCTAACTGTCAAATATGTATGCCACAGCCAAAGGTATTCATGTAAGACAGTTTTTATGGGGCAAGTTGGTATGAATGCTGTATTTGGTGTTCCTAATATCAATTTGTCTCTGTCTTTTTGTTTCTGTTTCTGTGTCCACAACACAACTTGTTAGTAGTAAATAGGCGATCATAAGTAAAAAAACGTTTTGCTTTTTTTCTTTTTCCTTTTTCTCACTTGGACGTATAAGGTGCCAGGGGTGGCGGTGGCAGCTTTTAGAAGATAATCGGTACTCCAACGGATGGCAGATCTAGCATTCTGGATCTGGCTTTGCATGGAGCTTCCAAATTCAATCACACTCCATGCTAATAATGTAGTTGTAAAGGCCATTGGCAAGCCAAACTTGACATTATCTCCAGCATCATAATATCCACCTACAAGGTCAACCTGAAATCCAAACACCAAGTGTATGCAAAATTAAAATAATACTGCGGATATTAATTAAAGCCAACCATATGTGTATGAGATAGTTTTGTAGAGGAGTAAGTACATAAGAAGAGGAGCCATCGGACAGGCCAGAATCGGCCCTCCATTTGAGCCGCTGGTCAGGAGGTAATTTGCCAGACCGCTGACCCTCAAAGAAGAGAATAGATTTTCCAAGGGCATCATTGTAGTCTTGAGAAGTGAAGGCTGAGTAAGTTAAGCTAAGGGAACAAATTGCTAGGCACAGAATTGGTAATGTCAATGAATATGGCACTAAACTAAAAGCCATATTTAAAAAGAAAAAACTACACAGGCCTGTAATTCAGGTCTAGAATACTGGTAGAAGAAGGGTAGCTCTAGCGCAGCAATTATACCATGAAATGAGAGGGTGGTGGGGTGGGTGTGGTTGCGGGTGAGGTGGTCTATTTAAAGAGGTGAAGGTGAAGCTGAAGGAAGTTGGAGAGAGTTCGTTGGTCGTTAAGAGAGAGAGAGAGAGAGAGAGAGAGAGGGTCATGTCACTCACGGGATCAACTGCGCCAAATCGGACTGTCTGTTGCAAATGCAAACAAGCAAACGTTATCCAAACCGCCAATTGTTAGAAACTAGTCAAATGCAGAGACAAATTAAATCGACAAGAATAGACTATTAAATCTCGTGTTTAACTAGTTTTTCTTACCTATGGCTCCCACACTATTATTCATGTATAAATTACGTATGTATACCGATATATATCAACTATTTATGTTAAGAAAAAATGTGACTGCTTATATATAATGGAAAAACTGCGTGATTTACGATAGAAAATTTGGGGAGGGTGTTTTAAAGTAGAAGCCATATGTTTGGATTCATGGCGTAATTAAAGGGTTGGAAAGGGGAGTGCATAGAAGTCCACAAAGGGAGGTGAAATGGGAAACTTATTATTTAATTTTGGAGTTCTATAAAACGTTATTTATGCGACGCTCTCAACAAATAAGAAAGCACAACATACATTAATATTGTGTTTGATTGAGGAATTTAAGAAGGTGAAACGTTAATAAAATATAATTATATTTCACTTACTTTTTCTCTTATCATTTTTAAATCTCTCAACCAAACACAACGTAAATTATCATTTGTCTCAATTATCTAACGAAAGTGAGTTGGCATTGTTCTATCTATAAAATTTTCAGTACATTATTGGTTGGGAGTATTTCGCGAACTAATACATGAAACTTTAGAATTATTAAGTCTTGATAATAAAAAAAGCACTCATTCCCAGCTTCTATATTATTTTTTATAAGCTGAAATTTGATAATTAGCAAAAGTTAAACGCTCCCAATTCTCTACTTTTGAATAATCAATTTTTTTATAAAAAAATTATTTAAATTATTTATGTCTCATAAATTGTAAGTAGAGTTTTTTTCCTCGCCCGTAGTTAATCTCTTACACATGGTTTCCAAATAAAAGCTATAAACAGTCTTATTAAAAAAAGTCTTTTAAGTGGCACAAAATAAGACTATAATCAATTTTTTTTTTTAAATTAAAAAAATTTGTTTAAACTATTCTTTCATCGTAAACCATGGGCAAAAATTCATCCCCAACCCATCCCCTGTGGATATTTAAAGAATATCACCTACCCTACCCAATGGATAAGAAAAAGAGGGGAAAACCCATGTATTTGGGTTGGGTCTCCATGGATACCCACAGGGTAGGTTATCCATTGCCATCCCTAAATGTTAGCATTGCAAGTCACGGATAAGTGAGGGGAGGGGGAATATGAATCACGTGTGCTGCTGCTGCCGTCATAAGTTGCTATTATTATATTAAATATTACAAAAGTGGAGGGAGAGGAGTCTAATTCTAGGGTGGGGAAAAGATAGGTTATTGTTATGGAATCTTCAATTCGTCAGATTGGTGGATTAAAAAATATCAATCTGTATCTGTTTGTCAATCCGGCTAATGTGGATTGAGCGGATTGACGAATTAGCGGATGGATGTGAATCAATTTAGCTGTTTAAAACTTTATAAATCTTTAACATAATTCAACTTGTGTACTTCCTCAAAAATAAAAAATAAAAAATAAAAAATATTACAGTCAATGACTTAAAAAAGTATTATAATCCCTGTATGTCTCATCTAAAGAAAGAAAGTTTGAAACTTTAGAATATTATAATCACTGCATGTATCATCCACATATTACAATCACAGCATGCCTCATCTACATAAAGTATTACAATATGTAGTTCTTAAAATACAAAAACAATTCAAACTACCCTAACTATAAACATAGTAGTAATAGAGATTGTATGCCTCTGTATTGTTACATTTGTATCTGTTTTTGAAAACAAAAATCAATTAACATATATCATCTTTTTTAGTATTTATTATTTTTAGAGTTAGATTTAAAAACCAAAAAGGATAGATAAATAATATATTTATTTTTTTTCAATTCAAAAAATATATTCAAGTTGAAAACTCTTTTTCAACAGAATATATTTAACAAAATATTTAAACTCTTTTTCAATTGAAAAAAAGTAGAATATCTAAATAAATTGGAAATACAAAGTCTTACAAATTACTAGAGGTACTCGCGGTTTGGCAGTTTGGTTGCGGCCAAAGAAACCTAAAATCCGTTAGCCATCCAAAACTAGGCGGATTAAAAAAAATCAATCTGCAACCATCTGCTCGTCATCATGTATCCGTCCAAAATACGACGGATCAATTTAGTTTAGCCAGTTTAAAAAAAGAGAACATGTAGTGTGTGGTTAGCTAATAGTCATAATAGCTTCCATGACTTGGGAACTGTTTTAAATTAATTATTTTGGTTTAAAAAATCAGGTACAAATCAAAACATCTTTTTGTATGAATGGTATGAATCGTACCATGTGATTATTTGGTACGTTATAGTGTAAATATGAAATCTCACATGGACTATCAAGCATTTTACATTGTGCTCGGGTGCCAACCCTTAATTAATGTTACCTGACTAAACTTTTGTTAATAGAACCAAAAAAGAAAAAAAAGAAGACTAACTTTTGTTAAAGAGTGGCCTACATTTTTCAATTACGGGGAGAGAGAGAGAGAGAGAGAGGGAGGTTGTTTAATTTTTGGGTCCACCTTCTTGAGAAAGAGTGAGTAAGAGAGAGAGGTGGGAGCTGGTTCAACGTTTGCATGCACCTTTTTTGGACTTCTGAAAGCCAAATAGAGAAGAAACCATGAAGCAAAAGAGACTAGTATAGAGTACAGGTTGAATTTTGGAGCATCTTCTTTTGGACATTTTGAGCTGGTTAGGAATTACAATGGGGGGCAATGGGGTGGATATTAATTCCCTATTCCCATTCTCCTATAATAAATTTTTCCCATTCCCCATCCCTCATTCCCCATAGGTACCACCCTCCCCATTATTTAATGGGTATGGATTTTCCCCTATCCACTTTAATCCCCATTTTTATTTTTTATATTTAATGTTAACAACCATTTATTTTTTTATTATTTTTTTTTAAAGGTTCACAACAAAAACTAAATATACCTTCAATCTTTTTTCTTTCTTTTTTAATATATTTAATATTAACAATTTTTTTATTTTTTTTAATTTTTATTTATTTATTTATTTATTTTTAAGGTTCACAACAAAAGTTAAATATACCTTTAATCTTTTTTCTTTCTTTTTTAATATATTTAATGTTAACAACCTTCTTTTTTTTCTTTTTCTTTTTTTATAAAGGTTTTAGCTAAATATACCTTCAATCTTTTTTCTTTCTTTTTTAATATATTTAATGTTAACAACCTTCTTTTTTTTCTTTTTCTTTTTTTATAAAGGTTTTAGCTAAATATACCTTCAATCTTTTTTCTTTCTTTTTTAATATATTTAATGTTAACAACCTTCTTTTTTTTCTTTTTCTTTTTTTATAAAGGTTTTAGCTAAATATACCTTCAATCTTTTTTCTTTCTTTTTTAATATATTTAATGTTAACAACCTTCTTTTTTTTCTTTTTCTTTTTTTATAAAGGTTTTAGCTAAATATACAAAAAAAAAAAAAAAAAAAAAAAAACATATGGAGAAATTAGTGGGTACCCATCCCCAACCCATCCCCTGTGGATATTTAAAGAATATCACATACCCTACCCATGGATAAGTAAAAAAGGGGAAAAGCCATGTATTTGGGTTGGTTCTCCATGGATATCCACAGGGTAGGTTATCCATTGCCATCCCTAGAGCTGGTTCAACGTTTGCATGCACCTTTTTTGGACTTCTGAAAGGCAAATAGAGAAGAAACCATGAAGCAAAAGAGACTAGTATAGAGTACAGGTTGAATTTTGGAGCATCTTCTTTTGGACATTTTGAAGAGACGGACAAGAGACTAAAATGCCAAACATTGGATTCTCTTCATGTGTCAAGTTCTAGTCTAGATATGGAAGTTCGTCATCATCATAGAGAATAGTGATTCAGAATTGAACAATATGACAGAAATTAATTAAAAATAAAATAAAATTGTGTAATGAAACTCCCAATTCTCCTGGATAATTGTGGCCTCTTTGATAAAAATGACAAAATTACATCAAGAAAACTTTAATTTGTCAAGAATGGTGCAATAGCTGTCGCAATCACAAAGAGGGGCTTAATTTATTTACGCCTATGGGGGCCAAAAAAAGTTTCAGCATTTGTCAAAATTGAGTTCCACATCCGGCACCATGGAAACAGAAAATATGCCCTTCAAGTAGGCACAAGTGACAACCACAAGACTTCTGTTGCTATCAACACCTTGTATTCATTCATGTAGTACAACTATTTCTGTACTTTTTAACATAAATTCAATTCTTGTGCCCTGTTTTGAACTTCGATTGAATGTTTAGAACAAATATGCTAGGTTGGACTAGTTAAAATTAACACTTCTTCAAAGTATGTTGTCTTGTTTCTCAAATTCAGCCAACCAATTTAATTTTTGGACAGTTTTTTTTTTTTTTTAATTCATGAAAGTCAATTATTAGTTATTAGATTAGCAGTTTGGAAGAGTTGAAACCCCCAACATCACCCTTGCAAAGTACCTAAGCATTGCACCCATGCCACTAGGCCACTAGGCTACATGCCACTACACTTGCCAATAGAACAAATAGGCCACTAGGCCACAATTCGTTGATAGTTGTTGGAACAAAAACTCCCTACGCTAACTTTTCTCAGATTTATAAAGGCTATTTATTTATTTATTAATTTATTATGTCAATCAAGTGACAACTGCCAAGGAGATATATACTGAGGGAAAAGATTGAGCACCCAAAATAGAATCACAGCGAGGCATGATAAGAGCAAAATTTCTTTCATCACCGTGAAGTTCACATAACATATGGTAAGCTGTTTCTTTCTTACCTAAGGAATTGTATATACTTGTACAATGGAGAATTTTTTGTATTCAGCCCGGTCAAATTTTGTTGCCTAGGTGTGTCAAATGACATATATAATATCTAGTACATTTGCTAGAAAAAATAGAATTTGTAACACGTCAACATTTCACATTCCTGAAGAGCATTGGTAATTGCTTGCTCTGCACAGTAAAGTAATAGTAGTAGGCGGCTGTGTGGTATGGCAAACGGCCGAACAAGAATGCATAATATGTAAGGAGAAACTTATAGAATACTCTGCTACAATTAATGAATTTGATTGGGCATTTCTGAACTCAAGCTTGTAGTTTACGGCAGACAGTAGAGCTGGGATTTGCCAATGAGCCTGTAGATATAGTAAAACAATTAGGCTAGAAAACACAAAATTATCCACTTCTCTTAATTATTTAGTAACGGAAAGTCTTTCTATTAGAGCTAAACAACTTACAAATATCTGCATAACATGGCTGCTTGGATACAGGGTCCTCTTCAAATGGTGGTGGAACTTGGCCGTACACCATTTCACAACTCATGTCTTCAAAATCTGCACCACATAGACATGGACATGGACAGAGACCTAGGAAGTACGGATACGGATACGAGATACGGATACGGATACGATACGATACGGCGATACGACAAAATTTGAAAAACTAGGATACGGGTACGGTGGGGATACGTTCGTAAAAAATATTATTTTAACAATTTTTAGTAATGCAGTATGCATAAAAATAAAACTTAAAGCAAAAGACAACTTGATAAAGAAGAAAGATTCCTACAAAACTAAGAATCTTCAAGGTCAATAGCTTCAATTTGTTCTTCTTCATCAGTGAATATCACAAGACCTTAGCTAAAGCCAAAGCCAAAAAACCATTCTTAAATAAAAATTTCAGCAAATATACTTTTTTAAGTCATCAATGATAGCCTAGGAAGCACGGATACGAATATGGCGATATGGGGATGTGGATATGGCGATATGTCAAAATTTGAAAAAGTATGATACGGGTACAGGGGGGATACATTCATAATTTTTTTTTTTTTTTTTGTGATTTTAATAATGTAATATGCATGAAAATAAAACTTGAAGTAAATTAATAAATAAAGAGAGGGATTCCTATTAACCTAAAAGTGCTCAAACATTCATAAAACATCCAAAACTAAAAGCAAAAGCAAAAGTAAATGCAAATGCAAATTAAACATCATCCTTACATGCCAACACCAAAAAAAGAATGAGAGCAGAGAGAAGAAACGTGAGAGAGTGAGAAAGCGAGAGAGAAGTGAGAGAGACAACAAGGATACATCGTCTCCTATTTCTTTATTTATTTCTCACCCCCTTTCTTTTCCCATATATTTTTTATTATAACCAAACATAAATAGGATTACATTTCTCATTCCTTTTCCAAATCCCACCTCAAAAACTCCAACCAAACACAGCATAGGTGTGTCAAATGACATATATAATATCTAGTAGATTTGCTAGAAAAAATAGAATTTGTAACACGTCAACATTTCACATTGCTGAAGAGCATTGGTAATTGCTTGCTCTGTACAGTAAAGTAATAGTAGTAGGTGGCTGTGTGGTATGGCAAATGGCCGAACAAGAATGCATAATATGTAAGGAGAAACTTATAGAATACTCTGCTACAATTAATGAATTTGATTGGGCATTTCTCAACTCAAGCTTGAAGTTTATGGCAGACAGTAGAGCTGGGATTTGCCAATGAGCCTGTAGCTATAGTAAAACAATTAGGCTAGAAAACACAAAATTATCCACTTCTCTTAATTAGTTAGTAACGGAAAGTCTTTCTATTAGAGCTAAACAACTTACAAATATCTGCATAACATGGCTGCTTGGATACAGGGTCCTCTTCAAATGGTGGTGGAACTTGGCCGTACACCATTTCACAACTCATGTCTTCAAAATCTGCACCACATAGACATGGACATGGACAGAGACACACCAGTCATTGTCATACATTCTAATCCAGTTCTTTAGCCACAAAAATTATCCAATCGGATTGGAGAACCTACTTGGGATCATAGTTAATGGAAGCCCAAATTCATTGGTGAAGAAATCTTGAGTAGGAATTTTGCACATATTCACGCACATTCCTACACATCCGCTGTTCTCCAGGTACCTTACAGTGGGGGAAAAAAAATTGTCCAAAAGGAAAATTTAACAGACCATTTATGTGAATCTGGATGCAGTATGCATATAAACAAACCTTTAACACTTCAAAATAAACTAGCGGAAAGAAGAGTGAACGATGTAAATTAAAGCAGCCTTAGTTGTTAAATACTCATTCCTTGCAAAAGCCAGTAATTTGGACCTTAGATTAAAATAACAAAGTGCCAATTTTACCTGCACTTCTTTATATGGACTCCGCTTCTTTGCTTTACCCCTTCTATCTCCACTTCCACCACCTATAGATGCCCATCATCACTTAGTATATCATGTATGCACCGATTGAGTGGCAATAAAATTTTCGTGATGGAATTTATTTGTGGAGCTTGTTTTAAATGTTTCTGAAAATTTATCAAATTGAAAGATACACAGTGTTATATGTGGGAGAAGTCTATAATATGAATGTATGATGAATTGGGGACAATAAAATATAATCGTACTGTAAAGACGAGTAAATTATACTGGTGATCGTCATAATTTGTCTCGTGTTAATTTGATTTCTATAGTTTAATTTGTATCAATTTTGTCCTTTTAATTTTCCACATTAGGTTAATTTAATAGTCAAATTGATAACATCTGTTAAAAAATTAGATAGAAATTATGGGCAACATAATTCATTCAAAAGGGAATATGAATATGAGAGGGTAATTTGTGTAGACAAATTAGACCGAGCTACAGGAAAGGGTTTTTGGGAGTTAGGCTGAATAACGGACTGTGATAGCGGCTCAGATAGCCTGGTCTTGGGCCAAAAAGAACACTTGACTTGTTTGGATTCGTAACCTCTTTAACTCGAGTTATTGAGCCCGTAAGAGTGTCTTTACACTTAGTGCCTTAAAACCGTCTGGTTTGGGAGTCATTGGCTCAATACTTGCTACATGGGTTAATTAGAAAGCTTAAGGGACAGAGATGGTGGTTAAGGCATGAGCCTAGCTATTTATGCAGAGTCATAAGCGGACCGAGATGACTTCAATGGAGAAGGCCGAGCTAGCCGTAGCTCGGCAGAGCTCCACTCTTTGGTTAGGTTTAGCACGGCTTGGCTAGAAGTAGAACAAAGCAAGATAGCTCGGTTGAGCGCAGCGATAGTCGAGCAAAGAGTTCTAGCCATCTCACTTGGTTGGTAGTGAGGAGAGTGTTCAATGGATAAGCATTATCCTTTAGGAATAAGATTTCTAGGAGGACTCTGCTAAGGAGAGTTAGAGTCCTATTAAGATTGTGTCACGTGAAATCTATAAAAGCTCATGACTGAACCTATTCCCAAGTATGACAATTCATATTTCATAATTTATAGAGCTTTAGTGTCTTTTGTCAATTTGCTGATTTAGACATCAGAGAGGTTTTCGTTACACACCCGCCGGCTAGCTTACGTTTGTGTTTTAAGGTGATAAGATGACGACGTTTGGAGGAGTGCAAACTTAATCAACAGGATTATACGAGAAGGATTATTTCGTATTTGTACAAAATCATTTCAAATAAAACGTCAACCCTTCAATTACTTTGAGAAAAGTAAACGAACTATTTGCTACTTGTTTTAGTTCAATTTTTAAAAGGACATTATTATGAATTAGACTAAATTGACACACTTCAAAAAATTCAAGAACAAAATTAATACAAGACAGACTAAGATAACTAAATTGACATAAGAAGCAAATTATATAGATTATGGGAGTAATTTGCCTAAAAATAAAGCAAAGGAAAAGAGGGAACTGAACACAAAATTGCTAGGATAGGTTCAAGCAAGCTAAATAGTAACCAAACTATAAAGAAAATGTTTAGGTGGTGGGTTGTTGTATTTACCTCAGAAGGACCAACTAGCCAGTGGAAGAAAGGCACTGTTAGAGCAGCATTGAACTCTGCTGCCCACTTTGTAGGAGGAAATAATTTCCTGAACTGCAACAGTTTTAAATATTTACACCCATGATAAGAAGGTGACATGTGGAAGCTGTAAACCAGGGATATACCATATATATACATCCATTAAATCCACAATAATTTGACAAAAGAAAAACAGAGATAGCAATAATTAACAAAGGCTGGTTTGCCAGAGAGGTTTAAGGGGGAAGACCTAAGATCTTGTGCACATAAGTGCGCATGGGTTTGAACCCCATAGCCAGCAACATTTTTACATTTGTTATTTAAAAAATTAATGGAAAACTCTTCTTTAAAGAGTCACCAATCTTTTTAACCCGTTAGGTCCCACTAAAATGATATCCTTTGTTTTTGTTTTTCGGATTTGGATAATGACTTGAAAGAACGTTGAGCCAGGCTTGTTTTTGGTTTTTGAATTTGGATTTGAATTTGGATTTCGGGCTTGTTGGGCTCATTTTGAGACCAAACTCTGTGATCCAATCATATTTGCATTACAAAAATATATTCTTAAAATTATATTTGTGTCCAAACACTTCAACGCTACCAGCTGCACCTCATTCTCTTAATCTCACTTCCGCAACATCCTCTGTAGTTATGGGGGTAAACTCTGATAGTGGTGATTTCCGATGCGACCAATCTTGAGCATTGTTTCAATCCTAATGTCAAAGAGTCCCATAGATTTCATCCTGCACTACGTCCACAGTGATGGCGCAAAGCAAGGGCTCCTACTTGGCCACTGACCTAGACCTCCCATTGCTTCCAGTTGTGGTAATGATGAAAGACTGTCTAGATAGCCAAGCCCATCATCACAGTGGTGGTGCAGTGAGCACAAAGGGACTTGACTTCATCTCCTAATTTGGTGGCCTTGCCGAATGAATGATGGAAGGTGGAGCAAGTTATGCTTCCACGAGACATAAATGTTCTCAATTTGTGGGTTGATAAACTTAGGCCTCGTTTGGCAAGAGGCTATTTTAGCCAATTAGTCAAAAAGTTACTAAATTAGCCAAAAAGCCAACAACCCATACCAAAAAGTCAAAGATTCTCTTTTCTCTCTACTTTTTGCACATCTTTTCGTAATTAGCCAAAAAGTCATCCCAAACATACAAGTTTTTTTTACCTACCTTTTTAGCCAAATAGCCAAAAAATTACTAAATTAGCCTGTTCCCAAACGAGGCCTTAGTCACCGCAAAATTGGGAAATATTTTATTTTTCGAAAAAAAAAAAAAAACTAAGAAAATTTTCAGTTTCAAAATATTGGAAATTTTCTCATATTCTAATTGGAAAATATTGGAAATATTTTCCAAATTTTCAGTTTCGAAAATATTGGAAATATTTTAAAACCAGTGAAGCCCCTCTCTCTAGCACATACAAATCAAGAAATTTCACAAACTAAAAAATGCCACGTCTGTGTGCCATAGATGCACACGAAATTCATCTCATTTAAGGTATAAATGTGTAGAAAATGATAATATGTAAAAGATAAAAAAGTTAGAAACTCCAAAAAAAAAAAAAAACAAAACAAAAAAATTATTAGAGAAAGAGAGGGGGATGGAAGTGGAGGAGTAGGAAGAAGAAGAACGGTGGGGAAGTGGGTACCTGAGCAGGGGCACCAGGAGGGAGCATGGACAAGAGAACCTCTCGGACAACTTGCTGCTGCTGAAGACGAGACCTTCCAAGCATTACTCTCTTTGAAACATCTACAAAGCTCTCATAGTCGTGCTCTAACCAACCCTTGTTCTTCCTCTCCTTCTCCTTGGAATTATTAGCAGCAGTAGCTGCATGTTTCTCCATCTTGCGAGCAAAGAGAGTCATGAAGGCTTTCTCAAACAACCCATCCTTGTACTTTGTTTTCTGTCCCATAGGCGCAGGCTCTCCCGACACCTCCGCAATTCCGCACCGTATATTACTACCACCACTACTACTGTAAGTGCCACTCCTACTCAGTCGCCTTTGTGATAAGCAATATCCATGATGAACCGTTGGAAACTGGACTAATACTGCTTGGAAGCTTAGAACCACCATGGGATTTGCTCCTTATTGTGATTCCCCTTTTTGGAATTGGAATTTGGAGCTATATAATAAAAACTCAGGCTTATAATTCTGGGGATTTCAAAGGAACAGAACAAGATGGAGATGATGGCCCCCCACGCATTAAAGGAGCCAGAGGAAAAGGGTGGATAGTTGGTTGGTTGAGCTTAGATACAAAATTATGGCCATACACATAATAATGCCATACGTGTGACCAAACTGAAACTCTTGACCTCTCTTTACCTTCATTCTTTTCTCTCTTACTAGAAATTGTGGTGGCAGTGTGCCACACACACATTATGTACCACCTGTGTCCCTACCTTTCTAGGTTATCTACTTTATTTATTTATTTAACAATGTGGGTGTTTGAGAAGTTAGTATTTTGGTAAGCTATTTTAATTTTTAACTATTTTAGTAGGTTAAATTTTTTGTATTTAGGTAGATAGTTAGATTTTTTTTTTTTTTTTTTGTAATTGGATGTGATATTTGTGAGAAAAAAAGTGAAATAATTATAGATTTGATACGACATTTTATCTCATTAACTATTTTAACCTATTTTGTTATTTTGTAAATTTTAGCCCAAAAGCCGAAAAAAGCTTTTGCCAAACATGTTTGACGAACATCTTAACTGTGCTTATAAAATCATAAGATAAGAAAACTGGAGACTAATAAAAAACAGGGTAAATTCAACTTTGCCCCTCTCAAAGTATGATTATTATTGTTATTATTATTATTTATTAGGAAAATTTAGCCAAAGCCCCTCCGTTGGACCCTTGTTTGGTGAACATGATAGCTTAATTTATTTTGCTTCATAAATCTTCTAAGGAAAAAATATATAATTGAGTAAGGACAAAGTAAAAAATATATATATATATATATATTTTTCTTAGATAATATTGTGAGAGTAACATGTTACTGTCAAACAGAGTAACACGTTATTGTCATACAGAGTAACGTGCCACTGTTTACATCAATTTCGATGATCATAATTTTTTTTTTGTTTATTAAGAATTTCATAGTCAACATAAATCTTATTTGATAGATCTTGATGAGAGAATTTTAAAAATACTAATTTTATTAAAACCGACATCTACATCAAAAGTTATATTATTTTAAAGTTTAATATTTTTGATAATAATGGTATGTGTTGGACTTTTTAAGAATTTTTTTTGTGTTTGTTCTTAATGTATTAAAATTTTATTATGAGAGTTTTGAGCAAATTTCCCTTACTATTATTATTGTAAATTTGGTCATTAAACTAAATTTTTTTTTCAACTGTCCTTAATTTTTCCAATTTTAAGAAATAGCTAGTTTAAAAATCAAAATGGGGAACATGTACTTTAGAGGAACAAACGTGTAATTGATAAAAAAAAAAGCAATAAGTTGAGAGAAATGTTTTGGTGATTTGCTTGCCAAGTTTCTGAATATCATCTAATAATCAATACATATATTTAACTTGTCTTGTACCAAAGCATTGGTTATACGTCATCAATATTCAAAATTTGGTCACCAAATCATTATTTAAAACTTCAATGGTTGTATCACAGCACCTAGAAACGAACAATGTTCATGTTGCCCACAACCTTGCTAAGGCGGCCCTTCACTCTTTTGTGCCCTGTCCAAATATACAGGGCCACTCTTAGTTTGGTGCACTTTTCTTCTATACTTTTGATTTTGTGTTTTGTTGTCCTTGTTTTCTCTTATAGTCTTTTATGTTTGAACTAATTATGCATTCGAATATTTTGAATTCCTTCTAAAATTAGTTTAAGAAGTGAAAAAAAAAAATCTACATATATTTTTCTCAACCTATAGACTATAGTAGATCCAAACGTAGAAATATTGACCCAGGGTACAACACCTAACTTTCCCTTAATAATACAAATTACAAAAGGCAATTTAGTTGCTGGAAGGGGCTTGTGTGTGGATTCGGTCATCTCTAAATTGAAAAGAAACAGTTGACATCTATCCAATTACACACACAAAAATTCCAAACATCAGTAAATATTTTGACTGCTGACTATAGCTAAAATCAAAACCTGCCTCTGACTTGATGAACATAAATATTTGGAGAGTCACCAAACCAAAACATCAACACAATTTTGAACTTCACTCTGTAGCCTCTCCCTGTTTTGCTGCCTCAACTTCTTTCAACTTCTCCAGTTTTGAGATACGGCCATCAAGAGATTCATTGAGGCCATCCATCTAGAGAATAAAAAAGAGAAAACATTTACAAAATAGAACAGAAAGCAAGTTTTCAATATCACACCTAACTACAAATATCTTGAAAGAAATACATAGATGAAATTCATCTGGGAACCACCTGTGTTCTCTACCTAGATTAAGGGGTTGTTTGGGGAGTAGCTTTTTGACAAAAATAGCCCAAAAGCCAAACCAAGTTATCACATCACTTTTTCTACCTTTTTGTAGGTTTTTCCGTAAAAAGTCAAAAAACCAACGAAAATAGCCAAGGTGGATTGCAGTTGTTTATATTTTGGGTAACCATATATTATCGTATCCTTCATGTGTCCTCTTTTTCTCATTTTTTTTTCTGCTGATGGTGAATCCTATCTCCCCTAGTTTATTCATTCCATTACTGTCAAAGTGAGGAAGCTACATCATTCTTCGAATTTTGACATGCCCGTAAGACTACTAATGACAAACTTGTGAGCTTGTTGGATGGATTAATGCCCATGGGAGCAATTAGGGTGTTGGAATTTTAGCCTGTATGTGGTTGACAAAATTTGACCATAGATGGTCAAGAGGGTTTGTCTCCAACTTCTTATACTACAGGAATAATAATAAGGAAAAAGCGTAGTAGCTCGAATTGGAAGGGGCTCGAATGGCCTGAATGGGTGTTAGCCGGTCGTTTGCCCGGACAACCGGGTGAAAGATTGTCTACCACGGTTGTCACTTTTGTCGATCGTGGCTGTCAGCCTCCTCGCCAGAGGACCGGCCGGACGTCCGCCCGGACAACCGGTAAGGTGAATTTTGAGCCATTCGGGCCAACCCCATATTCGGGCCACCAAGTATTGCTCTAATAATAAATATAAATTTACAGTAAAGGGAGCAATCCTTTCATTCTGTGTATATAAATTTACACACGACTTCCTCCAAAAATTTTGATTTAGTGAGAGCCTAAGTATCTCATAAATAGTAGGGAAAACATCAAATAAGTCCCTATTTTTCCCATGAAATTCCATAGAGTCCTATTAACATTATGTCGAAAGGGCTAAATCATGTGTTAATAGAACTCGATGGAAATTTTATGAAAAAAGTAGGACATTTTGAATACTTTCCCCTAAATAGTAACACCAACACTATGGAATTTTTAATCATGATGAAACAAGCAACTCAAGCTTCTCCCGCCAAAAGACAAAAAAAGATGCGCGCGCGCACACACACACACATATATGTATATGTATATAAAGTTGGGCAAATATGTGGTGCTTTGCATATGCCAAACCTCCAAAATAAAAATCTTAGGCATTAACTCACAATCTGGCTAGCAATTAAAGAACAGTCAGCAAAGAAAGAAAGACATATGGCAAAATGTGTTGCTCCTTGAGGTTCAAGAGTAGGGTGTTGGAATTTTAGCCTGTATGTGGTTGACAAAATTTGACCATAGATGGTCAAGAGGGTTTGTCTCCAACTTCTTATACTACAGGAATAATAATAAGGAAAAAGCGTAGTAGCTCGAATTGGAAGGGGCTCGAATGGCCTGAATGGGTGTTGGCCGGTCGTTTGCCCGGACAACCGGGTGAAAGATTGTCCACCACGGTTGTCACTTTTGTCGATCGTGGCTGATGTGGGTATGTTAAGAAGAAGATAGGGGCTCTGAGTCAGCAAACAGATAGTTCAATGGTTGTCATCCAAGTTGAAGAAGAGTAGCATGCTTGTTAAGTTGGCTCAACATTTGGCAGTAGGCAACTTGGTCCATGACTCATTAGAGATTGAAAGAAAATGCTGGTGTCCTAAAAAGAAACCTATAGGAATCCAAACAAGTGATTAGTATTTCTTTTCTTTCTCTCCAAATCACTCAATCCAAAGGTGGTGTAAGCACCAAGCGGGCTCTTATTATGCACATTGCAGTGAATAGTGATTGATTTGAGGGGATTGAGATGCTGCTGGTTAAAATTCATTCTTGTTGTTCAATCTGTTTATTCAGAATTAGTCTATATTAACAACTAGATTGGGGACAACGAGTTCTGATGAGAATCTAAAAATGAGTTGAACAAATAAATCCTGAAAGTGAGAGAGAATGTTTTTATTTATTTATTTATTTATTTTTTTAATATATAAAAATGCAATTGAAAAACATAACAATCCAATCTTCAGTTAGTTGAATTAGAAATTCAGAAATGATACATCCCTCCCTCTAATTTGGAGCTCTAAAAGGCACTAATGACGTGGAAAATAAAATAAATAAATAAATAAATAAACCAAAACGAAAACCAAAACCAAAACGAAAACGAAAACCAAAACCAAAACCAAAACATCAAAATTACATGGAACTCAGGCACCAATTAAAGCTATTAGAGCTCTTAAGAGCTCCCAATCTTTTTTCTCAGAAATTTACATCGCATGTTAGCACTGATGTGCTTTTTATAGTTGTTTGACAGCTTTAATTTAGCTTTGATTGTCCCTAGGAATTTTGGTAGAGAGAGGGAGGGAGGGAGGGGAGCAAATAAAAAGAAGGGGGTAAATTGAGAAGAAAACCTGAAGAGAGATGGATTGATGAGCGGACTTGTAATCGTCGCGAAGGACGTAAAGGCCAATAGCCGACGTCAACGCAGCCCCGGCGAAGAATGATGCAAACCTCACCCTCACCACGTATCCCATTCTTCTACTTCTACTTCTACTTCTACTTCTAAATTCCTCCTCCGCTGCTTCTCACAGATCTCAATCAATCACAACAACTGGTTCTGTTTGTTTTGTGGCACATTTGGTTTGGGGAAGGCAAGCCCGAAGCTCGTATGGTATACCCCCAATAGTGGACTGCCCAGCCCAATCTAATGTAAGAAGAGGGTTGGGCTAGCCTTACCACCGAAAGCTAATTGGCCTATGTTATGTTCTGGACTTTTCGGATGGATTACGTTACAATTACACACCAACTTCATCTAAAATAAATAAATAGAAGCCCAAACAATTGAACTACCTCAACTCAAAATGTGCTCCTTATGCTATCCAACATCATATCCTATGTTTGCTTTGGGCCAAGCAATTCGAATTATTTCCGAATGAAAACTTCATTCTTCTTCACCATTGAAGCAAGCTAAACACTGAAAATTGCACAAAAGAGCTGCCCCCATACTAGTTATTTGATTTAAAATCATAACAATAACATTACATTACATGACTACATTCGCAATTCATTCACTTTATTTTGATGTTACATTTTAATACAGCTAACTACCCATAGTTTCTTCAATGCCGCATTTTTATTTTGTTAGTCGATCGTGTTTAAACTTTTTATTTTTATTTTTTTATAGTATCTATTCCATTACAGTATCTTAACAAATGTAACCAAACATATGAATAAAGAGGTGTCGTTCTATTGGCACATCATTCGTATGCTTATGGGTTGGTTGACTTTGATTTTATTGGTTTCTTTGATCTTTGTTTTTTGAATTGAAAGTTCTGTTTCTGAATGAATATCACTGACACCTCTCTCTCTCTCTCTTTCTCTGTGCAGTGTGCAGAGTCGTTCATCTATTTCTCAACTTGCAGTTGAGAAATTAATTACGAAGAAGACCATATCCTCAGAGACAACACAGAACTCTAACATGGGGCATCTCTGACACTCTCTATTTAACAGCTCACCTGAGCTCAGCTCCGCCATTCATGTGGTTGGTTCTTTGTTTTATTTGAAGACATATAAAGCTCTGGAAAAAAAAAAAACGAGGAAAGGGATTGGTCCAAAGATTCTTCTTTCAGTGTTCTTGAACTTTTTAACATTATTATTGAATTGGGAAAAACTTAGTATGTATTAAACTTATAGAGGTCAACGGGGGCAATACTACAGTTTTTATTTAATATCAAGAACCTTGTCAGTCGTTAGTTGTTACTTGTTAGGGGATGTACTAGTATTTATGATGATGATGATGATTCATTTCATGCCATGATTTGGTACTTGGTAGTAGTTAAGAAACAAGAAAATAGTTTCTTGGTAGATAGAGACAGAGCGGCCAACCGTCAACCTCATTTCTTATAGGGAAGCTGTGTAGGCGATTCATTTATCATCATTAATTAGGAGTTAACACCAAGTGAGAGAGAGAGAGAGAAATGGTTGACTTCTCTAATTGGGAGTTAATACCAAGTCAGAAACTATTGCAGCAGAGTCGATATCTTCTTTCTTTCTTATACTGCGGTTGAGCTAGTAATTCTCCAATTACTTGTATGTGTTTTTCGTAATTGTTTCAATATTGCATGCATTTTAGAAATATATATGAAGAAATTGAGGATTGCTATATTTGTCCAAATAAAAGTAGAGGCTTCTCTTATGGCTATTATTCACGAGTGGCATTGATTAACAAAGTACATATATATGCATGTATGTGAAAACACACACACATATAGAATATTGGTATATAACATAAGCATATGTATGGATAAATAACTACAAAATATTTCATTCCATAGGCCAGGAGGGAAGATTATAGCTGTAAAGCTTGTGAATGTTGAGTGGAGAGCAAAATCTTTGATCACCGTTCAATAATTTTTCTGAAATGATGATATTAGCCGCTTCGGTTGGGTGATATGCATCCCAAAACACATACTTTGATCGATTGTCACACAGAGTGGAACTCATGTTTGCATTACTTCCCTTAAAGCACACATATGGTGGAAAATATCCTCCACAACACGGATCTTCTCCATTATCAAATCCTAACATTACATTTGCACACATATAAATGGTTGGTCATCATATATATGATATATATACAGAGCACATAATTAATAATATTGGAAATCAAAAATTTTGTAAAAGCTTACCGTAGTGGCGATAATTTTGTATGATCCCCGTAACAACATCATAAGAATTTGCATAAACAAACATAGCTTCTGGTCCCAACTCTTGATTTAAATGCTGAAGCAATGCACTTAGCTTTCTATTGTAACCTTGAATCAATGTATTCACCTCCACTGAACATTTTCCACTAGCCACAAGACGAAGGGCACGAACAAATGGTATGCACCCAAGAGGTCCAACCCCAACTACCACAAATTTCCTAGCCCCTAAGCCATGTAGTCGCTAATTCGAATTCACACCAAGAATTTTATTTAACTCTGCCTCCAACTTGATAAATTGAGATAATAATTAAGCTGAAAGTTATACAAAATCAAGCTAGCAAATTTGTTCTATGTACCTTAAGTTGTACTGTCAAGTTGGAAATCATAAAGTCTTGGAACACGGTAGGAGAAACCTTGATTTCCTCGAAAAATGGAATGGATGGTTGGAAATAGTTTAAAACATCATTGGATCCAATTGTAAGAGAGAAAAGAGCCTTGCTTAAGAATGTCCTTGTTCCATTTTCTCCCATTGCACGCACCATATAAGTTCTAGTTTGCTCAAAATAGCTGATTTGGGCTCCTAGCGAGATTCTTCCTATCTGTGCCGTAAAATTAATTTTCCAATTAAGTTACAAGTGTATGTAATTGTATTGAATCTAGATATGGCACCACCAGAACTGATCTAAAATAGAGAAAAAGTAATAAATTAATTACTTACAAACAAGGTTCCTGTTTGATCGAGGATTCCAGAAGCTCCAGAAGCATAATTTAATCCTCCTAAAACTGCATTAGATAATGAGTCAGGGGATAGGTAAGGTGGAGGAAATGACTTGTTCCCAAGAGCTTCACCTGAATATTACACCACCACCACAAACTGGAATTAGTTAGTGTCATATATACTCCAATACCTATTAATTCAGAGTATATACATGCTCTCCAATGCTAAGTACTGGAATACACTATTCACCCAAAAAAAAAAGTACTGGAATATTAGGCACACTAACACTTCAAAACAAATAGATGTATCCTTAACATTCACAAGCCATTGGTAGAAGTATTAGGGTTTCTAGCACTGTTGAAATATATTTATCATTTCACCACGTATCAGTACTATAATATTAGTTACGTTCCACACTGTATTAGTTTCGGTAATAAATAAATAAAATATTATTGTTGATACCAAATGTTATATTGATTAGATTTATTCACTATATCATGTGTAATATTACCGGCGTTATAATAAAAGAATGGTTTATTTTACCTATAATATCGGATATGGTTCGACCATTGGTGAATCTTCCGGTGGGTTTGCCACCAGAAGGCGCAAAGTCGATGCCATAAGGAGGAGAGTCTGCCTTTGAGAGGGTGAAAATATAGTCATTGTTTCCAGCATCAACCAAGGAGTCTCCAAACACATACGAAGTGTAACAAATACATGGCGTAGCATGCAACATCAGAACCACAATCAACGTAATCATTATTATACACAACAAACTCACGCAATTTCTAAGGTTCTCCATTGTCAAGCATGAAAGCCGCTGTAACTAAAACCTTGCAGATTTAAGTTGTAGATCTCTCTCTGTCTCTCTCTCTCTCTCTCTCTATATATATATATGCTTACATAGAAAGGCTCAGTAAATTGTAAATCCACTGCCAAGCGATGACACTAGTAGTGTTTTCGGAAGCACAGTTTGCATGTCCTGCAAAGACATGTAAGACATTTGAAAAAGTCTCATCTCCACTACTGAACTGGTCTATTTCCTACGTCATCACCATTATTCACATCTTACCCAATAATAATTCAAATAATTTGAATGATTCCCCTCTATACTTGCATCTCTTTATATCTATTTATTTTTCTCTTCTGGACCAAAATTTAAATTCAGATCAATAATCCGAACCATTTACTTTGTAAGTCCTGTAATAAAAGTCATTCATATAAAAAATCAATTTCATCGAACATTTATAAACATAAGAACAAATCACATTTTATTTTATAAAATGAATATCAAACAAGATTGTAAGCTCTTTGCTAATTCCTGGACAACAACACTGTTGCTGGCTAGGCTAGGCTAGGCACATACTTATACAAAAACTGAAGCTTTTAAAGTTAGAACTAAAAAAATGGAATATTGAGGTGTTTGGTAATATTACCACAAAAACTCAAGGCTTCAGAAGAAGAGCTGCATGCAATTGACATCATTGCAGAGGGTAGAGTATTGGTTGACTCAGAAAAAGAAAGAAGAAGAGTGACCAAATGTGAAGTGTGGAAGCTTTATAGAATGGTGAAATGGTAATGGTTACAAAAATCTAGATTGAATTGGACTTTGAATGGGGATAAAAGTACAAGGTTTTTCCATGTATTTGCTAGCACTAGACAGAATAGAAATCTTATCAACTCTATTTCAGCTAATGGGGTATCTTATGAGGAACCTAGTAGGATTAAACATGAGGTGCTGATACACTTCAAGGGTCATTTCCCTGAATCTTGGGCAAAAAGGCCTGTCTCGTGTCTTGGGGGGGGAGTTCAAATCAATTGAGGCAAGTTTTGTCTCTCAGCATCTTGAACCAGATTTCAAGGAAATTAAGGTACTGGCAGCTATCAAAGACTACAATAACAGCAAAGCATCAGGCCCTGATGGGTTCAACTTCTTGTGTTATTAGAAATTTTGGAAGATCATGAATCAGGTTATTATGCAATTCTTTAAAGATTTTCACACTCACAACAAGCTCACTTATGGCATTAATAGCTCTTTCATTACTCTCATCCCCAAGTTGGATAATCCTAATGGCCTAATTGACTATAGACCCATTAGTCTTGTAGGCTCTGTCATGACCCGAACACGCCCCTAGAAGTTTGGGTCATAATCGGCCAATAATCTGTGGGTTACCGAAGGCCTCAGACGAACATAGAAAATATTTATGTTAATGGGGCCATAACGGAAGCATATTGTAGACGTCCCCGAACGCCCCGGGAGGGTGAGTCCCGTTCTGTTCATTTGGGGGTACTACAGCTCGGACTCTCAAATCATCACGGTTCTTAATCTTGAACCAAAGAGTTCAAATCCGGCAAATCGTTTTGAGAAACAGATTTTTTGAAAAGAAGTGACAAACATGGACTGCTTCGCTAGATACAGAGTCGCCACCTAAATATTTTTTATGGGGGAATTTAGGAAAACCTGACTCGGTGCCGAAGGCCACATGTTCGTCATCACCAAAGTTGTCTTGGCTCGGGAGCTTGGGTACGATCGGGGAAGGTCAGCTATGAGCACCCCCTTTCGCCCGGTCCGAAGATCGGCCTTTACTAATTATGATATTCGATTTTGAAAACGTTATGTGTTTTTATTCCGGTTATTAGCCTAGAATTAATATGTTATGCGCACAGCAAACAAGTATAGACTAGATTGCCTAATTTGGAAACAAGCATTGCATATCCGTTTGTTTTGAAAAGCGCTTTGGAATTTGCTACTCGCATGTAGGCTAAAACACGGATTTCAACGAGTTTTTCCAACTCAAACAATCCAACCTTCACCCACAGGCATTCAAACAGTTTATCTCATATAAGCACTTAGCCACATGGTAAGCATACTATCATGGCAACATTCACACGCATGCAATATGCTAAAGCGAAAATACTTACATTGTACTCCGTGCCAAAACAATAAACTAGTTAGCAAACATGCATGTCCTAATTCATGTTAAAATGACTAATGCAACACAAGCAAAATGTGATTAGGATAGGCTCAGCTAATCTACGATGACATGCGAAATGCTACAACTAACACGTATTCAATTTGGAAATTGAAATACAGATGCAGTTAGAATGATGTGCCGACCCCGGTGCATGTAAGACAAATGAATGAATGCACGCATGCATTGCATGAGGTATGCTAATTTAAACGTGCCCTAATACTAACCATCAAAGCAGGTAAATAAAAGGGAAGAAAGAAGTGGGGATTGGAAGACATACACACCACTCACACACACTTATTACAAGTTTGCCCTCGCTCGGAGGGACCGAATAAATAATACAAATTAATTAACCCAGCAAGCTAATTAAATATTACAAATTACCTAATTAGCTAACAAACTAATTAAGCTAAGAAAAACAGTAAACCGCCTCGGGAAGGGAGCTCAATGCACGCGTACTCGGGTCTTGCTCGGAAGTGCACCGCCATGCATAGGCTGCCTCTGTTTTCCTT